AGGAGCAGGAAGGCTGATGTTTCGGGCCTAGACCCTTCATCAGAACAGCAAGATATCTCACTTCTGATGAAGGGTCTAGGCCCGAAACATCAGCCTTCCTGCTCCTGTGATGCTGCTTGGCCTGCTGTGTTCATCCAGCTCTACACCTTGTTATCTCAGGTTCTCCAGCATCTGCAGTTCCTACTATCTCCAGTGGATAGATGCCCAGCCTGCTTGATCTTTCCTCCTAGGGCAACACATTCATTCCCAATATCAGTCTAGTAGACCAGGGTGGTACGAGCCATCAATACTGAATGGTCGCTAATAATTCCAACAGGGAAATGAAGAGAAGCTTCTTCATTCTCGGAGCATGTTTAGAATGTAGAAGTTGCTGAAACAGTTAATTTGAATACTTTTGCAAGGACTCTGGAAGCGGACATGAGAGAAAAGGGAATAGAAAGGTTGAGACGAAGCATTTGGAAAGGCAAGAGGCTTCTGTGGATTATAACTGATTTTGTGGGGCTAAATGTCCTGCTGTATGTTCTCTGCAATGTATCCTATTGGGCAATAAAATACTCTGGGGAGTACATTAAATTACTCCACTACAGACATTAAATCAGCAATACACAGTGGCCATAAGTTGCCTAGGGAGTACGAAAAAAGGATGTATGCTGAAAGACCATTTAAATGCTCCTTGGGAGTATCACATTAGCAATGTACACTAATAAGACTATAAAGCATTCTTCAGCCATACTAAATCAGTACTGTATAGTAATGGACCATAAAATACGGTGTGGTAGCATATTTTTCAATAAAATGGTTGTGCTGTTTGTATTGAAACACAATTGAAATTTGAGTGGAATATTGTCATGCCCTGTCACTTACACTGTTATTCATGTTAATTAGCCTTCACTCACTACTATCAGTGTGAAATTCTGAAGAAACGTACTGGAGCTTGTGTTAATGGCTTCCCGCCTAAAGTAATTATTGTCAGCCCAGTTATGATGATGAGTGCCAGGTTCTGCTTAAAAAGATACCTGGCATTTTTCCAGTTAGTTTAATGAATGGTTTGTTCTTTGCAAAAACCTGTATTAATTGGATATAAACCACTTCAAGTGCTAATGATAAAATCTGAGAGTGCATTTTTAGATTCGGAAGCTGTGGAGTTTGACTCATGTAAGGTGTTAAATTCATTGTCAAGTATGTAGGTGTTAAATAACTATCTTTAGAACCAATGTTACTTGAAATACTAGTACAGTTTGGTGTATTGGATGCCTTATTGTACATTTCTTGTTTATAAGAAATTTTGAAGTAAAGTCTAATGGAAAAATCTGTTGTTTCATTGTTAGAGTGCCTAGTTGCCAGTAATAGGCAGACTAGAGCCGAGTCCCAGTCTTTATCCGTACCTACTTTGTTACCCAATAATTGGGTTAGATTTGATCATTTTGGCCTTGTTTGAGAGAAGCGGAATAGAAACAGCATGTCTTCCTTGGTGAATAACCTATATCAAAGGCATTGTTTTAACAAAAGAAAATACTTCCTTTTTAAATTGTAGACAAGAATGTAGATGTAAGGTATTTAATTGGAGACATCAAGTTTTCTCAGATGTACACTTTCCCTCCATGTTCTTTTTGTACCGTCTGTGATTTTTATTGATATTGTGTTTTTCCGTTTTTGTGTCTCTTTGGTAATTCCTATTGTTGGTGGTCTTTACTGAAGTTTTATTTTTGTTCTATAGCGTCACTTCATATCTACTGCATTGTAATATCTGCTGTTTCTCTCTGCACTGTCATGTTCCTCCCTGCCTCTATGTCTTACCTTTTTCACAGCCTGCTTCCATTCCATTCTCTTGGTTTCCCTGTCTCTGCATCTGTTTTGGCGATGCAAATTTCAATAATTTCAAATTCTGATATGTTTTCCTTTTTGTCTCAACTCAGGGACCCTCCACCACAGTGGACAAGGCCCTCAGCCACATCCATTCAATTTCACACACTGTTGCTTCCATCTCTTCCACCCCCACCCCAAGAAATATTAGTGGTGTTTCCCTTGTGTTTCATCCTATCAGTCTATATGATTTCTAGCACCTCGAGCACAGTGCCATCACCACGTGCATCCCCCCCCCCCCCCGCCACCCACCGCTACTATTCTGAAGGCACCACTCTTAAAAACACCCATTCTTTAGTCAGCCCTAGAACCTCCCCTCCTGTTGGCACCTGTCTGCACAGACACAAAATTCAACACCTGCCTTCTCATCAGTCAAGACTCCTGAGTGAAATAAGGGTTTGCTTTAATTTTCAATTTATTATACCATTTTAGCTGCACAGAATGTTGTCTGCTTTACATTGGAGACACTAAAGCAGACAGGGTGACCAGTTTGCAGATCACTTCCTTTGCAGTACACAGGTGTGATATCATGTTTCAAGTTGTCTGTCATAGATTCGTAGAGATGTACAGCACAGAAACAGACCCTTCGGTCCAACTCGTCCACACCGACCAGATACCTAATTCAATCTGGTCCCATTTGCCAGCATTTGCCCATATCCCTCTAAACCCTTCCTATTCATTTACCCATCCAGATGCCTTTTAAATGTTGTAATTTTACCAGCCTCCACCACTTCCTCTGGCAGCTCTTTCCATACACACACCACCATCTGCGTGAAAAAGCTGCCCCTGGATCCCTTTTATCTCATTTTAATTTGAACTGCTGCAGTGTTTAGGGAGGCTCAATGCAAAATCGAGGAATAGTACGTCCTTTTGATTTGATCCCTTACGATACTCTACTCAACACTGAATTCAATACTTCTAGATTGTAACCACTCTCCCCATTTTGTTTTGGTATTTTGTTTTCTCTTGTCTCTTCCCTAATGCCTGTACCTGGTATGGACCTGATGGCTACCATCTTGCCATTCACACCTCCACTGGCAACATTCTTTTTGGCTTTTCCCATTGCCAATCCTTTTGGTATTTATGCCATTGAGACATTTGTCATTTTATGTCTCCTGTTGTCCACCTGATCACAGACCTGCCATTCAGTGCTTTGATTAGAAAACTGGCTACTTACCGTAGTGGAAGCAGACACCCCTGTACACAGTATAGCAGTGACAATGTGTGCTTCACCCCTCTATTCACTCTGAAGGCAGATATTGTGTGCTCGCAGTTGGGTGCTGGTCAACACAGTGAAGAATGTTTGACCTGTTTCGATGTATAGGAATGAATCTCACACAGTTGTTTTTACATAAACCTGTTTAAAATGGTATTTAAGAACTGATACTCACTTTTAATGATTTTTTTTTGAAGAAGCTCACCATTTTGGGGAAGCCTAAACGACCTCGAACAGCCTTCAATATTTTCATGGCCGAAAACTTTGATGAAGCCAAAGGGGCAACTTCACAGGTAAAAATGACACAGCAATAATTATAATACTGGTCAATCCTAAATAATTGTTTCAAAGACTATTCTTACATGAGAGGCAGTGGTCTAGTGGTATTATCACTGGGCTGTTAATCCTGACATCAAGAAAATACTTTGGGTACCAGAGTTCGAATCCCGCCACGGCAGTTGGTGGAAATTAGATTCAACAAACATCTGGAATTAAGAGTCTAATGATGACCGTGAATCCATTGTTGATTTTTAGGAAGGAAACTGCCATTCTTACTTGTTGTGGACCCACGGCAATGTGGTTGACTCTTAGCTACCCACCAGGATGGGTAATAAATGCTGGCATAGCCAGTGATGCCCTCATCCCATGAATGAATTTAAAAAAAAAAGTACACCCCACTCTCTCTCTCTCCCTCCAGTTGATAGGATAAAAATGTTGTGCTAGTTTAAGTGCTTTATCACCTCCTCTTTAATGCTGTATATAACTCTAAAGGCATAGCAATTTGATAATTCTATAGAGCTGTCCTAAGAAGCTGTGGACTTTGGCCTTGATTTACATCAATGTACGATGATCTTGAACAAACGGTACAAAATAAGCAAAATAAGTAGTCTGAGAAAAGATCTGTAGGTGAAAGTGATTCCATTCAATTCTGAGAATTTGATAAGGTGGCGGGAGTGATAACACAGGACCACCTTTAGAATTAATTTTCAAACAAACTTCTTTGAAGTTCATGCTGGTGAGATGTATGAAAGTGATTGTTATGCCACAGTCCTGGGTTTGTTATGGCAGTAGATCTCAGCTCTATGGACTGAAATAAATATTTCTAATTTCAAGAATATATCTGAAACTTAAGGTCAATCTACTCCCTTCTTAAGTGTCATGTTGTAGAGTTTTCTCCTTTATATGTTGGCTCTTATCATGTTAATCTGTCTAAACATCTAGATTCCTCAAACCTCCTCCACTTAGATTAACTTGTTAAACTTTGAGCACCAAATTTTGCTAAACCTCTTTCTTTCAGGTTTGGATATCAACAACATCACCTTTTTTACACTGCATTTCATTTCATGCAGAAAGACCCCTTAACACCTATGTTGATGCTTGAATAATCAAGGCAACTCTTGCACCTAATGAGGAATCCTTCAATACAATCACCTTAAGGAGACACATGGCACTTATTTCCTATGAGCAAGTCTCCATTATTTGTTGGGAATCTGTCTTGCTCGTGAGGTGCTGAACTCATTTACTTTCGAATTTTAAATAATGATGAATAAAATTGGCTTTCTTTTGGGCCACAAGGTATTGCTTATTTCGCCCAGACCTGATATCTGTGGGCATCTGACCTTGTCACCTTCCATCCAAACAATTCTCTTTTCTAATTTGAGTACAGCCATTGGTTTTAAGTGTTCGCAGGTAAAAGAGAGCTCCCAAAACGCTTTGATTTAAACCTTTCAGGGTTTTTTGTCAATTAGTATATTTTTAAAATGCCATTCCTCGAAAGTCACATTGGAGAGATTTTATGCTGTAATCATACACTTAAAAGGAAGTTGAGACTTCCCATGTTATTGTTGGAATGGAAGGACAATACAGTGTAGGTGATATTCATGTGTGGGTGAAGGAAGGTCATGCATTCTGAAACCTGATTCTCAACATGTTTGTTATTGCCATCGCATTAGGGAGAAAACTTGTCCTTCTTTTCTAAACATTTTCTCAGTCTAGTTCAAGTAAAACAGAGTAACTTTTATGCTGATCAATTCAACGCATTTCTAACAAGGATTGGAATACGGTCGCCAGAGCCCCTCCCACCCCCATCGTTCATTTAGTGACTGACTATGCACTCTATCAGGAAAGGGTGACTTCTTCCTTACTTTGAGCATAGTTAGGCTTTCTTCTTGTAGGTTTCAAATTTTGCAAATATTAAAGTAGACCAAGGGACCCTGTTCTAATTTCCAAATCACTGTCTGTGACAATGACACAACTGCAGGAGGGGTACATTAGTACAAAAATGTAATTGACGTTGTACGTGGTGTGGAATCTTATGCAGGAGTACCATTCAGAATTGTATGGGATAAAAGTTTTAGTTGGACAGCCTAGGCAGCGTAGAGCAGTCTGTCTTGTCAATGATCTCAACAGGGCCATCTTTGAGGTTGTTCAGGTGACCTTTGGTGAAATAGGACTGGGATCCCCACTCTAGATAGCTACTGAATGGTGCCCTTTCCTGTTGAGGAACCTTCTGGTATCATCTGGAATCCCAGACGAATGATGGCCAGCAAGGCTAGTAGTTGTGGGAACGTACGGTAGCAAAATGACAATCAGACCAGCATCGGCCGGGAGAGGAAGGTGGACTAATGAAGGACACTTATTGTGACATTCATTTGGTTAGTCAATGTGCTGTGCTATGCCAGATGATCCTTTCTGGAAAACAATTCGAAGAAGATACAAAACCAGTAAACCACAAAGTAAGAAGGAGAAGCTCACCCTGATTGGTGTACCAGGTCTGCCCAGAAACCCATGACTATTGTGTAAAAGACATGATACCTACCTAGGACTCATAATGTTTTCCACTTAGGCTCCTGTGTCATTCATAATGCAGTTATAACAACTAGCTCTCCAGAAGTTTAATAGAGACAGTTGTTTTCAAGGTGATAGCGGTTCCATGGATTACTGGATTTAATTTGATGGGTAGCTTACAGATATTTCCACGTGGTATGTAAATTGAATGAAATTGAACAACAGGGAGATTTCTGAAGGTAGTAACTCCATTCTGAAACTTTTCAGTGTTATTTGCTGGGGGTAGTGTACGTATTCTTCTGTCCTGTCATGTTTTGTTTGTCTTGAAAACAAATGTGGAAAATGTTCCCATGCTCTGATAAGTAAGTTAGGATTCTATGATTTGTTTTAGGCAAAGCTGAAAAACCTACAGGATGAGTGGCATCGGCAGTCTGATACACAGAAGCAGGTAGGTGTCACTTTTTCATTTGCATTTCAGACTAATTTACTGCTGAAGTGATTCCCTCGTTTTTAATCCATTAATAAATTTCATGGCCCAGATCTTCCAGTCAGTGATGTGCCCCCTGTTGACTGTGATGTAAACAGCTTACTTTTCATTTGATTCTTGGGCCTTTGCACCTTCTTGTGTGAATCTAATTCCTATCCAGGAATGAATGGGATTGGGAGATTGACCTGTAGCCACACCCATTAAGGTCTGCTATCAGTTCAATGACTGCCACTGCTTTTAAAATGGACCTATCTACCCCTGGAAGTGTAAAGCTTTAGTTACTACATACCTCTCTGACCCAATCCCCATCCCCATCCCCCCCCCGCCCCCCAATCATCCCAATTAATATTCACCTTCCAATTCTGTCAAGTCCTGATGACGTTCACCCTCTTCTTCATCCCGGCTCGCAAAATTCCTAACAATGCCGATTCTTCTGACGTTGACCTGACCCTGGGAGAGGGTGGAAGGATTCAGGAGAGCGAGTGAACATTGTTGGGATCGGGCGATGGCGAACGTTGTTGTGGGGGGGTGTGGGCTGGAGTGAGCCAGGACGGGCGAAACGTGGGAGAGTGAGAAGATTGCCGGGGTTTGTGGAAGCTTTGTCGCTCCAGCTGATTCACATCAAGCCGTGACCCTGGGCAGCTTTTACACCTAACCTGGACAAGATCTAAGAAAATCTGTTTTTAAATAAAAAAGGCAGGGTAAGCATAATGCAAGCGGCCCAAGTCTCTATAGTTGTGATTGTTTGATCCCACTGTTGTGGGGAATCGTGTAGCAGACAAGGCAAGATAAGACTGCCAATCAGAATGTGAACTACACCGTGCAAGTCATGTGGTTGTATGTACATTGAGACTTCCTCAGGGTTCCAAGGGGCATCCAGTGACTGAAGTTGAAACATTCGATCTTCATCCTATTGGAAGATTTAGGCTGGTGTTTGTGCTGCAGCATCATTTGTGATCCGTTTTTTGCTTTATGCTGCATTTTTCTGTTTGCTTTCTTCCCCCTCTATATCTTAATTAATTAGAGAAAAGGCACTGTGAGTCAGACCTTGGCCTTTTCACATCTAGAACCTGGATTTGAATCTAGAGCTGCCTAGTGGGATCAGAGTCTCCTTTCTGATGTCTGTGAGGCTTTGGTGTGAAGTGAGTCTGTAGAGTTTCCATTCCCTGTGCGGTAACCAGGGACCTTCAGCATGAAACCAACTAACCATGTATCACAAACTTAACAGTCATTGAGATTGTCTTAAGCATATAATAAATAGGAACTGGATTAGAATAGTTCCCTTATGGCTGCTTTGCCATCAAGTAACATCATGATAGACGTTTGACTTTAATTCCACACTTCTGCACGTCTTGATCCTCCTGTTCCTTTAGAATCTGAAAATCGATCAATGTCATTCTTGAAACTAGTCAGTGACTGAGCATCCACAGCTCCTGAGGGAGACCTTAGGATTAAGAGTGAAACAGTGTGCCTGACATAGGAAATGTTCTACTTTTCCAATTTCAGCCCAAAATATTGATAAATCAGAAACACCAGTAGGTGTTTAATAGATATTAGATATTAATGTCAGCATATTAGATTTATGAGTGTCTTTGGTCATGGGAATTCAGAATTACTAGAAGTAAAGAAAAGCCTTAAATTCATTAAACAGCTCCTCACAAGCAGTGAAGTTGCCTTCCATGATGGCAGAATTGTACAGTGAGTGCTCGAAGCTCATGCAGTGTAGTAGACAAAAGCCTGCAGTCAATAAATTATATCCTAACGAGCGGTGAGCAAATGTGTTATGTTCAAAGCCCAGAGGGTGGGTTCAATTAATATTTATCTGCATAAAAGGGTGCATGCCATTCTACACAGTGAGGACTCGATTTCAATAGAGATCATTTGTTGAAGCAACTGTTTGGTCATGGTATTAAGTTGGCAGCCATTAGGAAGTCAAGCTTTTGGAATTTTGGAGGATGTGGTGTAGAAAGGGGAGTGCAGATGGAAGGGAACAGATCAATCATTTGATTTTTCTCAATTGACTTCCATGCTCAGGCATTAAGAGCAGTCTGGGAACATGGCTTCTTGCCCTGTCCAACAATCTAAAAAGAAAGGACTGGCTGCTTGTGATGTTGGACAATTTGAAACTCTTGTGAATTTGCTTTTTGAATGCTATTAATTTTGAAAAGAATTTGAGCAGCAGCTCCCACATCTTCACACCCCCAATTAATGACGGATGTATGAAGGGCAAGAATTAAATGAATTCAGCTGTCTATATAGCCTTGTTTGAACATGAATTCAAGGAATCTTTTGATATTGCACCAAGATCCATCTTGTAATTGTAATTTTTAGTTGACTTTGTAGAAGATTGCTACTGCGAGGAATTACCAGCCAGAGACCCTCTGAGGGAAAACTCTCACCTCTCTCAGCATTACAGATCATTCCTAAAATGTCTGAATTGCAGAGATGTTTTGCCATTGATTTGTAAACTGGGCTATAGATAATTATACCATGACTTTGCAGATTTTTTTTATTTAGCCTGTTCAGAGATGTTGTTATATATCTCTCGAGCAAGTGGAACTTGAACCTGGGATTTCTGAGAGGTGGGGACACTACCAATATGCAGCACTGGCCCCTATCATAACTTCGCATTTTACTCGGGTTGACATTGTTTACCTGCATTGAAATGGTCAATCTACAGCATTGGATGAGTCTGAATTAATGTTTGGATTGTAGAAATGGTGAGTTGAGCCAGTGGGCTGATCTAACGTAACAGGATCCTTTGTTTAGCAGGCCCAAATATAATGAAGTTCTTGATCTTCTCCAAATTTATTTTATTGCACCAAAAGATTTTTCCATGGCATTATTTTGTCACATTTTGTAGTGAATCCAAACCATCATCTACCACCCATCCAAGCCCCTCCAAAGTTATTTAAAGTAGTGTATTTGTTTGTGATGTGTAAGTAAGGTGAGAAACATTGTCTGAGTCAGTCACATTTTTTTCAGGACACCAAAGCTTTTAATTGCTGTGGAAGAAACAAACTATTCAGCAACAAAGTATTTAGACAAGTGCTATTGTTTTGAGAGCATGGTTATATTTCATTTAATTACTTTGAATTAAATTCAGCCTCAAGATGGAGTCCAAGTGTTTCATCAAAAGAAAGTGTGTTCAGTTCAGAGCTCTGAGCTTTTAATCTCAAATTAATCACAATTTGAGATTGCTGAAATACCAGAGGTATTTCTTATTGTATCTTTACCAGCCATATAAATAGAGTTGTTTTTTCACTGTTGTCAGGTGTCTTAATGTCTATCCAAAATTAGGAAACCTCAGTTCATCAATGTCCAGTCAAAATTATTAAAGTTTGCATACCCAACTACTAGAGAGAATAATTTTAGGAAGAATAAATTATTAAAGTTTGCATTGTGCAGCTACTGAGGAAGAATAATTTGGTTGTCAAAGATGACCTTGAAATTACAAGGATCACATTTGGGTTACAGTTGGCAACTGTTGGCACAAAATTTGTGATTATTAAGAACTCCAGAGGCAAGAACTAGTTAACAACTTTTAAAAGAATTCAGACTTTTTATTGTGGAAGAATAAGTCAGACTAGTTTGTGTTGTGTAAGGCTGATCACCATAATGTGTGGCATTTTGCTGTAATGCTTATGTCCATAGCCTTATGACATTTCAAGTGCTCATCTGGATACCTTTTTAAAGGTTGTGCAGTTTCCTGTGCCAACTACCCACCCAGGCAGTGCATTCCAGATTACCACCACCCTCTGAGTGGAAAAAAAATTCTTCTTCAAATCCCCTCTCAACCTCCTGCCTCTGACCTTAAAATTATGCCTCCTTGTTATTTAATTCTTCTTTCTATCCACCCTGTCCATGCCCCTCATAAGCTTAAACAGTTTATTAAAGTACCCCCTCAGCTTTCTCTGCTGTTTCGAAAACAACCTGAGCTTATCTAGCCTCTCTTTTTAAAGCTGAAATGCCCCATCACAGGCAACTTCCTAGTGAATCTCCTCTGCAGCTCTTCCAGCACAGTCACATCGTTGCTACAATGCGGTGACCAGAACTGCACAAAGTACTCTAACTAAGGCCTAAATTTATGTACCACTCCAGCATAACCTTCTTGCTCTTTAACTTATGCCACAACTAATAAAGACAAGTGTCCCTTATGCCTCCTTAGTTCCCCTGTTAATCTGTCCTGCCACCTTTAGGGAAGATCTCTCTGAGCTTCCTACTATTCTGTCATTCATTATGTACTCCCTTTGTCTTGTTACTTCTTCCAAAGCTCAGCACCTCATACATTCTTCCTCACCATCAACTACTCAAACCAATCTTCATGTCATCTACAAACTTATTTGCCCAAATTTTCTTCTATATTGCTCATATATTGGAATATATATCAAACAATAAAGGACACAGCACTCATCCCTGTGATGCGCCACTGCACGCTGGCCTCCGGTCACACAAACAGCCTTCTACCACCATCCTGTGTCTCCTACCACTCAGCCATGCCAACTGTGACTGTTTCAGACAATCAGAAATAAAAATGGGGTTCAATACAATTACCAATGATTGAGTAACCTAGGTCGGTTGGTTTCCCTTGGTGTTGCATCCTTCTGTTTGTTTAACACTGAGATTTTACACTATAGCATCTGGAAATATTACGGCACAGAGAGAGATCATTAGGGACTGCTTTCTTGTGCACATTGTTCGGTAGAGTTATCCTGAGCCTAATCCTACGCCCCTACTACTTTTCCCCAAAGCACTGTAGCTTTTCTCTTGAAACATTGTCCAAATCTCTTTGGAAAGTTACTATTGAATCTGTTCCCTCTACCCTTTTCAGGCTGCAACGTGGTCTTTAAAAAGAAAATGGTTCCTCTTGTCGCTAGTTCTTTTTCCAATCATCTTAATCTTAAGTGTGTTCTCTGGTTACTGATCCATCTGGCACTGGAAAACTCTCCTTATTCTGCTTT